AATGATTAAGGGCCGTTTGCTCAATATGTGGTTAGCACTAATCTCCATTTAAACATCATTATCGACGTGTTCGGCTCCATGCATATAACATGGAGTCGGTAACGTCGATAACGATGTTTTACCGGAGATTAGTGTTAACCAGACATTGAGTAACCGGCCCTAAGGGCGTAATGATAGGAGTTTGCGGTGAGCAAACATCTTTTTTGGCACAAATGTCAGTTACAAGGTTGTGCAGAATCACGATACACGTTTTGTTTGGCCTAGCTTCTCCTCAGATATGGAGGTTTACTATTACCAACAGAGGGGCGACCGCGAACATCGGAGTGTATATATCGAATATAAAAAAGAATGAGAGGTACTCTAAAAAAATGTACCCAAAACTCACGAGTAAATTAAAAAATTCTCATTGAAAATAACTCACATGTCCAAATTAAAAAAAAGTAAGTGCGCCTGGGCCACACTGGAGAAGTGAAACTTACGTTACATACATATCTATTCTGTGTCATAACCAATATACATACATACATATGTACATGCATACATACATCTGCCTTTGCTTAAGGTTATACTTTTTGTCTTTTTTCCATCTAGATCCCTAACTAAATTTATGTTATTCTGTTTTCCATTATCTTAATTTTTATCTTTATACTCTATCGATATCAAAATCGATAGTAACATCCAATAAAATATCGATAACAAAACAGATAAAAATTTCGATAGCGAAAACGATAATAATATTAGTAGCAAAATCTATTAGAAACTCGAAAAGAACCCTGCAAGAACAGTGACTATCATTTGACAAATCATTTGAGTGGCAAGGCTGATAGAGATGGCTGTCACTGGCTACTTTCAAGTTTCTATCAAATTCTAAAGGGCAGTGTGAAAAATTTGATGTAAACATTTGTGTACATATGATCTTCCGTCTTCCTCCAACTTATGGCCTTATTTAATGGTCTCTTTTTAACCAATGCAAAATTTGCAAAAAAATATCGATAACAAAATCGATAAAATTATCCATATCAAAATCGATAAATATCGATAACAAAATCGATAAATATCGATAACGAAATCGATAGTGAAAACGAGAATAATATTAGTAGCAAAATCTATTAGAAACTCGAAAAAAATATCCATAACAAAATCGATAAAAATATCGATAACAAAATCGATAAAAATATCCACAACAAAATCGATAACAAAATCAACAAAAAAATATCGCTAACAAAATAATTTGAAATATCGATTACAAAATCGATAACAAATCGGTAAAAATATCTATAAAAATGTCGTTAAAAAACCGATAAAGATATGGATAAGTCCCGAGAATTCCTAAAATTTCTAAAATCACGAAATAATTCCCAGATTGAGTCTCTGTGTCTCTCTCCTTATCCTTTCCTCTTTAATGACCTTTATTTTAGTCTTTCTTTCCCCATCTTCATCTTTACTTTTATCGGTGTCTCATCCTCTTTGTCTTTACTTTTATGTTCATCATTTTCTTCAGCTACATATTCCCCCTGCACATTTGCCCTTATATACATATATAAGTAAATGGCCTTATTCATAAAAAATAAAGTAACTTTATAAAAGGTTTATAAATTGAAAAATGTATGAAAACGTCAATTTATAAAGCTCTTTAAACCTACTTTATTTTTTATGAATAAGGCCAAAAGTGTTTAAAATTACCTTGGTCTTCATTTTTGCCGTTATCTTTACGCATCTTTGGTTTTGTTTTTATTTTTACCTTTGCATTTATCCTTTTCTTTATCTATGTACGTAGTCACCTTTACTTTCATTCTTGTATTGGCCTTTTTCTAAGTGTTATTCTTTAACCTTTTATTAGCAAATTTTAGTTAAATTGATACCATATGCATACACACAAGAAGCACTTGTTTCAGCCCCAACCATTTCCGTTGCACCATTTCCGTTGCATCATTTCCGTTAACCTTTTATTAGCAAATCTTAGATAAATTAATACCATATGCATACACACAAGAAGCACTTGTTTCAGGCCCAACAATTTCCGTTGCACCATTTCCGTGTGCAATTGCCGTTGAATTTGCCAATTTACTCCCAACCAACCAACCGCCGCTAAAGAAATTTCACTTCAAAAATATAACTTAGGGCCGGTTACTCAATGTCTGGTTAACACTAATCTGCGGTTAAAAATCGTTATCGACGTTACCGACTCCCTGTTATATGCATNTTGTATTGGCCTTTTTCTAAGTGTTATTCTTTAACCTTTTATTAGCAAATTTTAGTTAAATTGATACCATATGCATACACACAAGAAGCACTTGTTTCAGCCCCAACCATTTCCGTTGCACCATTTCCGTTGCATCATTTCCGTTAACCTTTTATTAGCAAATCTTAGATAAATTAATACCATATGCATACACACAAGAAGCACTTGTTTCAGGCCCAACAATTTCCGTTGCACCATTTCCGTGTGCAATTGCCGTTGAATTTGCCAATTTACTCCCAACCAACCAACCGCCGCTAAAGAAATTTCACTTCAAAAATATAACTTAGGGCCGGTTACTCAATGTCTGGTTAACACTAATCTGCGGTTAAAAATCGTTATCGACGTTACCGACTCCCTGTTATATGCATGAGTCGAAGACGTCGGTAACGATGTTTAACCGCAGATTAGTGTTAACCAGACATTGAGTAACCGGCCTTTAAACGGTTACAGCGCTAAACAAAAGTATAGTTAGAAAAAATAGCAATGCGGTTTGAAGGAAACATTAGACTATAATGGCGCATTTACATGGTATGAAACCATATGAACTGTTGATACGCTAAAATAGAGGGACTACATGTTCTAATGAGGAATTCAATGATATCGAGTGGGATGCATATAATAAATTTTTTCATATGAAAAGTTATGGGGAGATACTGTAAACATACTGTTGTGATACTGTTAAGCATATGAAATTATAGCAAGTTGAATTTTCATACATCTTCCCATAAAAAGTTTAACAGATGCAGAGATACCAAGGGGGGTTTTTCCCATTTTGATGCCTTTTTAATATAAAAACCCCCGAAAAGGAGGAAAGCGGCAACTCCGCCATTCACATTCATGTCAAAAGTATGAATTTTAAAAATTAAAAACAATAAACAAACAAATTCAAAACAAAGA